TCAGCCTTATTAACCCTTCACCTGGCTGCAAGGCTCATTTACTGCATTTGTTGATGTGTTTTTGTGTGCTGGCCCATATTCACACATGTGCTCATCATGCAGTTCTTCATTGAAACACATGGGGCACCTAATCTGCCAAGGCACACACTTTAACAGAGTAACAATAGGACACGGACCTGCCTCAGTGCCTGCCCAGGCAGTCCCACAGGGCAGCCCTTGCCAAAGCAGGAGAGGGGCTGGTCACACCGGGCTTTCTGTTAACAAGGATGCCCTGGAGTACAAGCCTGCTGGCATCTCTGCCCTGCTATAGTGAGTTTAAGGGTTGATCAAGGAGAAAGATATAACCACAAAATGGTGTTAGCACACACACAAGTTTTATATTAGTTGTGTTTTTTGTTTTGTTTTGTTTTGTTTTGGAGACAGGTTCTTACTCTGTTGCCCAGGCTGGAATGTGGTGGCACAACAGCTCACTGCAACCTCCACCTGCCAGGCTCTATCGATCCTCCCACCTGAGCCTCCTGAGTAGCTGAGATGACAGGGGCATACCAATATACCTGGCTAATTTTTGTATTTTCTGTAGAGATGGGGTTTCACCTTGTTGCTCGGGCTGGTCTCGAACTCCCGGGCTCAAACAATCTACCCATCTTGGACTCCCAAAGTGCTGGGATTACAGGCTTGAGCCAGTGTGCCTGGCTTGCACTGCGCTTTGACAGGTTTGCATGCAGGAGAAGTCCCTCCCAGCATGAGACCTTCCAAAGGTGCTGGGGGCTACTACCCAGTGTGGAGGAAGGCAAGGGAACTCCCAGGGGAGAGCTGGGGGAGAGGGCCATCTAGGTGAGGTAGCTCTGCAGCACGATGGGGAGTCTCTGGGTCAGAGAACTCCAAAGCAATAGCAGCAGATTGGAGTCTCTTATAGGCCCAGGGCATATCTTATCTATGGCTAGCAAATGTTAGATACAGTTTCACAGGGTATGTAAAACACAAAGATTGTATATTTCTTTAAAAGCTGCTTATTTGAGCTAAAACAACTGGAAGGGTAAAAATTTGAGTTTGGCACCAGCAGGCTTTTGAGCCAACAGGTCCCAGACGACCATGAAGAAATAAACAATGCAGGGCCAATATACAATGGCCATTCTCTTTTTTTCTTTTCTTTTTTTTTTAAGACAGGGTTTCACCATGTTGGCCAGGCTGGTCTTGAACTCCTGACCTCAGGTGATCCGCCTGCCTCAGCCTCCCAAAGTGCTGAGATTACAGGCATGAGCCACCATGCCTGGCCAATTCTCTACTCTTTTATAAAAAATAATACCTGCCACTCTGTGATCACCACCCATGGCAAGAAAGACCTTTGATAGTTCTCTCTACAAACAGCCAGACTTGCTGAGAGCACCTTACACAGGGTGCCTTCCTGAACTGTCAGGAGGGCCATCAGCTGAAATCTCAGCACTCCGTACAGGTGGTGATGCCTTAGGGCAGGAAGATGCTGCTGGACTTCTTAGGCCTGGACTGATATGGCAGCTTCAAACTGACTCTGGCAGTTCTGAAGTTCCAGAAAAGTTTACTTCTTTCTTATGTATACCCTGTTTACTTACAAACAGCATTATAACAAGAGTATTGAGGGAAAATAGAAAATTGGAAGGCTTAAAGGAGGAGAAGGAAATAAATATATCCCAAACCTAAAGTAACCTGGTTAGAGTTAGGTATTATATTTATCTTTGAGCTTCCTGGTAGCCAAGGCAAAAAGAGATCAGAAAACAAGTGCCTATGTGCCCTACCTTAACACTTGATCTTAGTCAAAAGACTAAGAAGTAATACATGCCCTGACTTAAGAAAAACAAAGAAAACTTGACCTTCCAAATGGTTAAAAAAAAAAAAAATTAAAAAGTAACATCTATGCCTTCTAACAAAACACCATTGAAATGATGGCTCTATTTACAAAAGTTCTGTCTTTGTGCAATGTTTTCAAGTATATGGTGCATGGATATTTTAGAGTTTTCTGTGGTTTGTTCTCAAAAGTGTTTGCATAGGTTTACATTAGGAGGAAGGGGCATAATGTTATATCCAAGCCTCTTAAGAACCACTGCATGGCTTGGATTGGGTTTCCACCTCTTAGTAGTCTGACATTAAAGAAATTTCTTTTCTTTCTGTCTTTCTTTCTTTTCTTTTTTTTTTTTTTTTTTTTTTTTGAGATAGAGTCTCACTCTGTCACTCAGGCTGGCGTGCAGCGGCATGATCTCAGCTCACTGCAACCTCCACCTGCCGGGTTCAAGTGATTCTCCTGCCTCAGCCTCCTGAGTAGCTGGGATTACAGGCGTGCCCCACCACGCCTGGCTAATTTTTGTATTTTTAGTAGAGATGAGGTTTCACCATGTTGGTCAGGCTGGTCTTGAACTCCTGACCTTGTGATCCGCCCACCTCGGCCTCCCAAAGTTCTTGGATTACAGGGGTGAGCCACCCACAGCTCCCGGCTATAGAAATTTCTTACTATGCTGGAGCCTCAGTTCTGTGCATAAAATAGAGGAAATAGCATCTACCTTCCTAGGTGGCCTGAGGATTAGAGGTAGCACACATTTCACCAGGCACCCTTCATTTCCTTACTTCCTCAGATCCACGCAGGTATTCAGTTCCCTGGCCCCCAAAAATCGAATCACTCAAACAGATGATTTGAACACTTCCCATTCTCATTCTGAATGAAGTGGATCCCATGTGCAGCAGGAGTGAGAATGCCTTCCCTACAGTAGCTCCCTCAGTTGTGATAGCAAGTTCTCCTTGGCTGCCCCTTTCTGGAGGCCCCCTCCACTGACTCAGGGCCTTGCTTGCTTTGCCCAGCAGATGGACCGAGCAGAGCACAAGGGTGAGCTTCAGACAGACAAGATGATGAGGGCAGCTGCCAAGGATGTGCACAGGCTCCGAGGCCAGAGCTGTAAGGAGCCCCCAGAAGTGCAGTCTTTCAGGTAAGCAGAGGGCCCCGGCAGCCCCCTTCTCCCTTTCTCAGCCAACCCACTGGCCTTAGCCTTCTGTCTCTGGTCTCACTGCTCCCATCCCTTGCTCACAGAGCACTGGCTTTCTCTGTAACTGATGTTCATCCTCCGCCAAGCCATCCCTGGCGATCCATGAGCTCTGCAGTGCCCTTCCCCTGGCTGTCTTTATCCGTCCCCACACAACTGAGCTAATTTGTTAGATCCTCTTGTTTAATGAATGAGCCGCCTGCTCTAGCCTTCCCTCATAGTGTTTTTTTTCTTTTTCTATTTCTTTCTTTATTATTATTTTTTTAAAGATGTGTTTCACCATGATAGCCAGGCTGGCCTTGAACTCCTAACCTCAGGTGATCCACCCACCTCAGCCTCCCAAAGTGCTAGGATTATAGCGTGAGCCCAGCCCCTTGTAGTATTTTCATCACTGCTAATTGTGGAAGTTGATAAATAAGCCTGGGGGTGATGGTTGCTCGCTGGGCCTCCCTGGCTCTGCCTGCCACCTGCTAGGATCTCAGGAAGTTGCTTTCTTGCCATGCTGGACCCTAGTGTATCCTTGGAGGACCCTGAGTGCCATTTGGCCTGGGCCTCCCATTCACAGAGTGCCTAGCGTTTAGACTTCTGATGTCCTCTCAGGTACACATTTGTGCATGTGCTTTAAAAAAAAAAAAAAAACTCCTTTGTGAAATACAAAAATTTAAAATGTACAATAATTTGTACAACTGTCTTTGGGCATCTCTTAACTTTTTAACAAATTGAGAATCTAAAACAAACATTGGAAGTGGCCCGAGGGTCCTTTGAAAGGCTGAGAAGCCTCTGGGTCATCGTTCATGCTAATGTTCCTTTAAAGCAGTGGTTCTTAACCAGGGGTGATTTCTCCCCTTCTCCCTGGGACATTTGGCAATGAGCATACATTTTGGGTTGTCATAACTGGAGGTCAAGGATACGGCTAGCATCTAGAGGGTAGAGGCTGAGGACATCGCTAAACATTCTGCAGTGATGTACAGGACAACTCCCACGACAAAGAATTATCCTGCCCAGAATCTCTGTAGAGTGAGGTTGAAAACCCCTGCTCTAAAGGGATGGCCTCTCTTATAGGGAGAAGATGGCGTTTTTCACCCGGCCTCGGATGAATATTCCAGCCCTCTCTGCAGATGACGTCTAACCGCCAGAAAAGTGTTTCCTTCGTTCTACTGACCAGGCTGTGAACATTGACTGTGGCTAAAGTTATTTATGTGGTGTTATATGAAGGTACTGAGTCACAAGTCCTCTAGTGCTCTTGTTGGTTTGAAGTTGAACCGATTTTTCAGTTTGGGTCCTATTGTTATTATTAAAAACAAGAACAAAAACAAAACACACAAAAAAACAGAAACAGAAAAAAAACCAAACCAGCATTAAAATGATAAGATTGTATAGTTTGTATATTTAGGAGTGTATTTTTGGGAAAGAAAATTTAAATGAACTAAAGCAGTATTGTGTTGCTGCTCTTCTTAAAATCCTTTAGATTTTTTTGTTTGTACAGCGCCACCTTTTAGAGGTCTTACTGCAATAAGAAGTAATGCCTGGGGGACGGTAATCCTAATAGGACTTGTCACAGAACAGCTAACTTTTCCTAGTTAACATATTTTGTACAATATTAAAAAAAAATGCACAGAAACCATTGTGGGGGGGATTCAGAGGTGCATCCACGAATCTTCATGAACTGTGACGTGTTTTTATGTGGCTGCCTGACATGGAGCGGGTGGTGTGATAGGCTGGGGGGCTAAGCAACCCAGCCTCTGTGGGTTTCAGGCCACCCTGGTCTCAGATGCCCAGTGAAGCCACTAACGTGAGTGAGGGGAGGGCTGTGGGGAGCTCCATTCAGTTTTATCTCCATCAATAAAGTGGCCTTTCAAAAAGAATCTCCTCTCACTCTTGTTCTCTTCTCCACCCCTCACTTGGTCTGTGTTTCCCTGATATTTGACTCTCCCTTTTCCAGTCATTTCTTTCCCACCCATCCCCAGTCTAGGAAACATTTATGTTTTCTTTTGCCCACTCCTTTCATTTGCTAAGTTTAAATGACTGCTCAATTCGTTAGGAATCCACATCCCCAAGTTAGATCGGGGATGCTGTCTGCACTGTCTCATTCTATGGAATTTCACCCCACCCAATGAGAGATGACTTCACAGTTTCTTCATATGAGCATCATTCCATGTCGTCCCCAACCCAGGGATAGTAGGTCCTGGAGCTTATGTGTTTCATGCTGCTTATGTGGCCCATGTTCCTGCCCAGCTCAGAGCTTTGCAGGGTCTATTGCATCAACATCAGAAGTCAGCCTCTAACAAATAGCAACAGCCAGAAATCTCTTCCTCCGTCCTCTCTGACATTACCCTGTTGTACCACCCAGCAAAGCATGCTGCACGAGCTATATCAGAATCACCTGGGGCAGCCTATTAAAAACGAAGACTGTTGGGCCCCTCTCTAGACCCACTAAACTATCCTACCCACCCTGGGACGGTCCCCAGCACCAGTGTTTTACCCTTGTTCCCTCTGTAAGTCTTATGCATGCTGCAGTTTGAGATCTCCACTGGTATAAAGTGAGTGAAGCCCAGGCAGAGACAGGCAAAATGGTGAGGACAGCACCCTACTGGTAAGTTGCACAGGGAACGCTGAAATTCATGGCCCTCTCCAGGCCACTGGGGACTCGGGGAGGTGATGGAGGGAGCAACGCCACCTTCACTTGCTGCTGAGGCTCTTCCCCTTCTCCCCAGCATACTCCTTACCTGGCTGTCTCTTCTCATGTATAAGGAACCTACAGTGATGGAGAATCTACTCTTCTTCCCCCTGTGGCTTCCAGGATCTTTGATACCCAGTCCTCCCTGGATAGCTGGTATCCAGCCCAATTTCTCACCACTGGCCTGGGGCTTCCTCCTGCCCCATGGCATCAATCTCTGATGTTCTCTCTCCTTCCATTGAATTCCACGAGACACATTAAGGGTTGACTTCATAATGTCTTCATATGAGTATCAATCAACATCTTCCCCAACTCACTTGTACCAGGTTGTAGAGCGCGAGGACGGTCTCATGCTGCTCTGTGGCCCCCGTGCCTACACAGCTCTGAGCTTTGATGAGGCTGCCCTCCTTGCTGATCCCGTGATCTTTTCTGTTAAGGGCACTGGCCACAGCAATGGGGCACATGGCCCAAGCTGGCTGTAAGTGACCCATCTCTTTGGCTCCCATGACTAGACCAAGGAGAGGCATGGGGCACAGCCAAGCCATTCAGAACCCTTCCCTAGCATTTTCCACTCACAGGTTAGAGATGAGAGTTTCTCTTTCCAAGCTCCAGCTTCATGGTGAGGAAAGAGACCTTTAATTCTCTTAGGCTTCTAAGAGCCCTTTCCTATATTGCATTTCAATAGAAGTAAAGGCTAGCAGACCGGGCGCCATTCTTAATCACACTCCTATAGATCGCAGGCATGGCATGGAGGAATCTTTCCAGAAGGCATTGTTTTTTCTTAAACATGATCAAATCCCCACCTAGTCACGTACCCCACACCTACTTCATGGATCAAGACCCTTTCACGTGTAATTTCTAGAATTATAAGCCTTTAAAAGGGCAAGGATTTTCTTTGTGGAAGAGCTCAGTTGTTTGGGTTTTCACCTGCTGCAGCTCCTAGCTGAGCAGCAGGTGAAAATACCTTAACTTCCTTCCCTGTTCGGTGTTTGAGAGGTTTGTTTGCAGCTGCTCCTGCTTCAATGGGGGCAATGGGATTAGGAAAATGAGGCCAACCTGCAAAGGGAAGCAGATGTAAGAGATGGAGACAGAATGGGGGTGTTCTGGGGATCTTGGAGCCTGAATTCATTGGCCCGGGAGGCAGCAGAGGACTGTATTTGCAGTCCATTTGGACTCAATAAAAACTCTGAAGAGCACATGTGTTACGGAATTCCTTCTCAGCAACACATTCATCTGTGCTCAGTTCTCCCAGCACGGGTCACCCCTCACACCCCTGCAGCATCAGGTGCTATGAAGCAGAGCTGTAAACACCCTTCCTGTGTATGGGAAAAGCTACATGGAGCAAATCCTCCCACCCGGAGCAGCACATCTCAGCGTCACTTCAGCTGTCAGGACGTTTGTGGGGAGAACCAGACCACCTCTGCAGAAGGCAAGAGTCTCTTCCAGCCATGGAGTTGAATTTACCAGCAAACCACCATTCAGTTGTTTCCCTAGAGAGAAATTCAAAAATAAGTAAATGTTCACTTGTAATGGTGCCTGTGTCTTTTCCAGAACCTTCAGGAAACAAAGCCGGGAAATGTAAAATGACCCCCTCAAGCTCACGTACATAATAAATGGCAATAGCTAGGATGTTGATCCCATCTTTCAACTCCAAAATCTCTGTTTTCTTTCAGCTCCAGCTTCTGTTTCACAGTGTGGCATTACCACACACCACACCACAGGAGGCCCTAATTGTAGGGCCTTAGAATCCTTGGTCTTGAAGAATGAAGTCACACATTCCTGCGGTTTCTCTGCATAGGGTGGGGAGAAAGGCAGGGTACCAGGATACTAGTCTGAAAAAAAGACAGCAAACCTCACTGGCTCTGATCCTCCTGCTCCTACAGACAATGGTTGCCTTTGAGTCCAGACCTTTTTGCAATATGCACACGAGCTTTCTGCCTCTCAAGAAGGCCAAGGATCTAAGATTCCAGGTAACTATTGCCTGCCTTAGAGGCTCCAGCCAGCCTGGCCTTTCTTTTTCTCCTTCCCACCACCGGCCCTTTGCAGTCCTAATTCCTTCTGCCTGGTGGATTCTTCCTCCATGTCTTCACACCGACTGCATGGCCAGCTCCTTCTCACCCTTCAGGTCTCAGCTGAAGCCTCACCCCTTAAGATCCCTATCCACCCTGGAGCATAAGCTCCTAAAGCAGAAACCTCATTTGCCTTGTTTTTGTTAGGTCTGATGTAGAGTGGGTACTTAATATTTGTGGAATGAATTGAATGAATGGATGTGATGAAAGGTCTGCCCCAAAGGTGTATTTGGTCTCTACACCTTTGTCATTCTAATCAGGAAGACCCTGGGTAGAGTAGGGGTACTAAAAGCTGGTTTTGACAGCTTTGATTATAATCAGATAGTAATTTGCATGGTTTTGACAGGCACCAGGGTGCAGACCCCCCTCGGACGCAGCTTCCCTGCCCCCAAACACACGTGTGACCCCCACAGCATAAAGCAGCAGAAGCGATTAGGAGCTGACACACACATAACATTTAAATTCTCTGAAGAGCCAGGCGTAGTGGCTCATGCCTGTAATCCCAGCACTTTGGGAGACTAAGACAGGAGAACTGCTTGCGCCCGAAAGTTCAAATAAAATTAAAAAAAACAAGCTGGGTGTGGTGGTTCACACCTGTAATCCCAGGGAGGCTGAGGCTGGTTGGTCTACTGAGGTCAGGAGTTCAAGACTAGCTTGGACAACACAGTGAAACCCTATCTCTACTAAAAATATAAAATATTAGCCAGGTGTAGTGACGGGCACCTCTAATCCCAGCTACTAGGGAAGCTAAGGCAGGAGAATCACTTGAACCCTGTGCCCTTTATCATGTTGGGGTCACCACCTGAGACGTGGGTCTCACTACTTGCAGAAGTCTGACCCGCAGACCCCAACTCAACCATTTCCCTCCCTAAAGACAGCATCTCAGGCTGGGCGCAGTGGCTCACGCCTGTAATCCCAGCACTTTGGGAGGCCGAGGCGTGTGGATCACAAGGTCAGAAGATCGAGACCATCCTGACTAACACGGTGAAACCCCATCTCTTAAAAAAAAAAAAAAGGCATCTCTTGCCAGTTTCTTCTTTGTCCTTCCAGAGAAACAATGCCTATGTAAACTTATACGTGTATATCTTTTTTTTTTCCACCTAAAAGTGCACCATAAAGATACTGTACTGAACTTTGTCTTTTCTCGATAAGGTATCTGGTATCTTGGCTGATATCTTAGCTGGTACCTTGATAAGATTATCTGGTATGGTGGCTCACACCTGTAATCCCAGAAGGCCAATCCTTTGGGAGGCCAAGGCAGGTGGATCACCCAAGGTCAGGCGTTCGAGACCAGTCTGGCCAACATGATGAAACCCCATCTCTTCTAAAAATACAAAAATTAGCTGGCATGGTAGTACATGCCTGTGATCCCAGCTACTTGGGAGACTGAGGCAGGAGAATCACTTGAACCCGGGAGGCAGTGGTTGCAGTGAGCCGAGATCGCGCCACTGCATTCCTGCCTGGGCAACAGAGTAAGACTCCATCTCAAGGGAAAAAAAGATACCTGGTATCTTATCTCAGTAAGATATCTACTCCTTCATACAACTATGTAGTATTCACTGAATGGATGTGCCATCAGTTTATCCGTTAACTGAGGAACACATCTGTTGTCACCAGTCACTTGATTTGACAGTGCCTAATTTCTTTGTCTATACATCCTTTCGCACATGTATTCAATATGTCTGTAGATAAATTACTGCCCTCATTCTTTTTTTTTTTTTTTTTTTGAGATAGAGTCTTGCTCTGTCACCAGGCTGGAGTGCAGTGGCATGATCTTGACTCACTGCAACCTCCACCTCCTCGGTTCAAGTGATTCCCTGCCTCAGCCTCCTGAGAGTAGCTGAGACTACAGGCCCACCACCATGCCCAGCTAATTTTTATATTTTTAGTAGAGACAGGGTTTCACCGTATTGTCCAGGATGGTCTCGATCTTTTGACCACGTGATCTGCCCACCCCAGCCTCCCAAAGTGCTGGGATTACAGGCATGAGCCACCACACCCGGCCTGCCCTCATTCTTTAAATGCACTATTAGACTCCCAGGTAAAACTGTAACATGCCTGTCAGACATTTCCTCTCAGCATGCTTGCTGTCTCCTTTGCTTGAAGGGCAGTAGAAAAAAGATAAGAAGCTGGAAAACGAAAGCCCTGAGTGACATGTCCACACTGCACCTACATCCAACTCCAGGATTTTGAGCAAGATGAGATGCCTACCTTCTTCACTGAGTGATATGAAGATTCAGTGAGATTATACACTTAGGTAGAGAAGAGATGTAAGTTGCTAATGGATGGTAGGAAAGTTGTTATATTCTAGAAGGGAGTATTTTTTTTGGAGGGGGGAGTATTTTCTAGTTGCTATATTCTAGATGATTCTGGGAATAACAACCTTATATTACAGGTTTGCCCTACACCTTTAGTAAGGTTTCTCTCAGGTCCCTTGGGACTGAATAAATGTATTATTTTTATTTTTTTAATTTTTGTCTTTTTGAGACAGAGTCTCTCTCTGTCACCCAGGCTGGAGTGCAGTGGTGTGATCTCAGCTTACTGCAACCTCCACCTCCTGGGTTCAAGTGATTCTCCTGCCTCAGCCTCATGAGTAGCTGGGACTACAGGGGTGCACCACCACACCCAGCTAATTTTTGTATTTTTAGTAGAGACAAGGTTTCACCATGTTGTCCAGACTGGTCTTTAACTCCTGACCTCAACTGATTCACCCACCTCGGCCGTCCAAAGTGCTAGAATTACAGGTGTGAGCCACCGCACTGGCCTGAATAGATGTATTTTGGAGAATATGGTAAGTAATAAATTTGCAACCAACCACAGAGTAGCTGATTAATATACATGAAGCTAATCAGAGTAACGAACACAAACTTGCCATTGTAGTACTTTTTACCATTTACATTTATGTATTTGATTCTTTTTTTTCTTTTTCTTTTTGAGACAGAGTCTTGCTCTGTAGCCAGGCACCAGGCTAGAGTGCAGTGGCACAATCTCGGCTCACTGCAACATCCACCTCCTGTGTTCAAGCAATTCTCCTGCCTCAGCCTCCCAAGTAGCTGGTACTACAGGCGTGCACCACCACGCCCAGCTAATTTTTGTATTTTAGTAGAGACGGGGCTTTCACCATGTTGGCCAGGATGGTCTCCATCTCTTGACCTCATCACCCACTGGCCTCGGCCTCCCAAATTGCAGGGATTACAGGCCTGAGCCACCACGCCTGGCTAAGTATTTGATTCTTTAGTTTTATCTGTCTGCTTATTAGGATGTTGGAGACTCAGGGCAGGCACTGTGCATATCTTTTTCACTATCTTAGCCCTGGGGCCAGAACTGTCCCTGGCAGATGGCAGACCCCCCAACAATTGTTCAGTGAGTGAATTAAGCTAAGACCAAAGTTCTAATGCCAATCCTGCCCAGTAACAACACGAACGTGAGCACACACTTCCAGGTGGTTTTCAACCCTCTTTACAGGCTGCCGGGACAACCAACGACCAGATGCAGTGTTTCCCCCATGGGAGGCATAGGTGCACCGTTGGTAACAGTAGAAAACGTTAGGTGGTATGTGGGTGAATTTTTATATTTATAGTCATATTTGTTTTAATTTACATTACGCCAGGCGTGATGGCTCACACCTGTAATCCCAGCACTTTGGGAGGCAGAGGCGGATGGATCACCTGAGGTCAGGAGTTCGAGACCAACCTGACCAACATGGAGAAACCCCATCTCTACTAAAAATACAAAATCAGCGGGGCGTGGTGGCGCATGCCTGTAATCCCAGCTACTCAGGAGGCTGAGGCAAGAGAATAGTTTCACCTAGGAGGCAGAGGTTTCGGTGAGCTGAGATCACGTCATTGCACTCCAACCTGGGCAACAAGAGTGAAACTCCATCTCAAAAATATATATATACATTATATATAACTTGTCCAACAAACCCATGCATTCACAGATATTACTGTTTAGGATGAGGATAAGTAAATAGTTAAGTTAATAAAGTGAATCAATGTAAAGAAAAATATGTACTTAATGTGAAACAAAGAAATGGCAAAAATAGTGATGATGAAAACATCTGAAAAAGGCTGAGTTAGTATATGTAAAAGGGTTCTAAGTGGCCACCTAGCCCAATCTCCCCATTTGATGGATGAGGAAAACAGGCCCAGGAGCTATGACTTGCTTCAAGTAAACCGTGAGCTCTTGGTCACCAAGGAAAAAGAGAAGGGGATTAGGCATAGTGTTGGAGTATCTACCTGCTCCTTCTGTGATGGCCTCAGTGAGAACTGCCTGCTCGGGCTAACCTGTGATGTCAGCCTTGGTGTATCTGAGACAGCATTTCTCCCTCCCTCCAGTCCCATACCATCCTGAGATGCTCCCCCAGATCACATGCCCGTGGTGAACTAGCGTTGTGTCTTCCGTGAAATCCCTCCACTCGT